CTCCACGGGGGTCCCCCTCCCCTACGCCACTCGGCTTTTGGTGGTGGTGGCAGTGACTTGACGATGGTGGTGGTGGTGGTGACGATGACTGTGGTGGTGGTGGTGGTAGTGACTTGACGATGGTGGTGGTGGTGACGGTGGTGACGATGACGGTGGTGGTGGTAGTGACATTGACGGTGGTGGTGGTGGTGGTGATAGTGACTTGACGGTGGTGGTGGTAGTGACATTGACACGCTGCTGACAGGCAGCGTAAGAGGGATAGACAGAGAGAGACACGCGCAGCCACGTGGCAGCCTGGACCCCCGTTCTTGCGTGGCCCCCTTCCTCCGTTCGTTCCCGTTCTGACCACGTGTTGTTCGTCTCCACCCCTATTTAATACCCGGGTCACGTGGTACGTTTCCACCAATCCCGGTTAGCCTCCATGGAATCTTCCAGACTCCATCGTAGGCTCCCGGGACCACGCCCCTGACTCGTCTCCCCATTGGCTGTGGCCAAAGCCAGCAGGGCCAATCATCTACAAACAGCTGTCACCTTGCCATGACGTCAGGGCCACGCCCCCAGGCTTCCCCCCATTGGCTATGGACCAGGACCGGCAGAGCCAATCATCGTGACGAGTTGTAATCCGTCAACGACCCGGATGTAACCTCACGTTACAAATAGCCGACGTTCCCCCCTACACCTGCTCGGCATGTCCTCCTCCCCCCGCCGCCCCGGCAGGCTTTACGCGCTACACCACGGGAGTGTTCCCCGGCGTGTCCCCCGGCTCTCGCGAGGATGCGTTCCTCTCCGCCATCGTCGCCGCCGGAGTGTCCCACGTGGTGGCGCGCGGCTGCCGCCAGGGGCAGTTCCGGGGCAGCTGCTCCTGGGTCGTTCCCGACGCCATGAGGCTACCGCCGCGTGCTCGGCGGGGCGGCTCATCGGACGACGTCGAATACGGATACCAGTTCGCCAAGTGGTTCGTGAATGTGGGCGATGGCAGTCGTAGCAGGCAGAGAGGGGAGTCTTTGGCGATGAATTTGCACGACAACGAGGCGGGTCGGCTGGTGAGTGTGTGAACGGGGTGGTGGGTCGTTGTAGATGTTGTCTTTTTTTTTTTTATAATAAAAAAAAGTTACTCCATGCTAATTAGGTTTGGCCTCCTTGCCTAGGGTTGTATTACCAATCGTGATTAACGCAATGGTTCTCGCTTGAACTTCTACCGGTAATGTTTTAGCGTAATGATGTCTGGTGGTGGTGATGACGGTGGTGGTGGTGGTGGTGATGACGGTGGTGGTGGTGGTGGTAGTGACATTGACGGTGGTGGTGGTGATGTCTGGTGGTGGTGATGACGGTGGTGGTGGTAGTGACGCTGGTAGTGGTGGTGGTGGTGCTACAGGCGGTGTACAATCTGGCGCACATGGACTGCAAGTGCCACCTGCTTTTTGGCCGCTGCATGCTGAAGATCTGCTGGCAGCAGCTCGCCGACTTCCACCAAGTTGGGAACTTGCTGAAGGTGAGCTGCTCACAGCTGCTGGGTGGGACTGCCCCCAGAGGGAGTGTGGGTGTGACGAGGATTCATCCATTGGGGGGTTACAGGCGGGGGGGGGGGTCCCTAACAGCTAAGGGAGCTCCCCGCATTCACTCGACAACCACCACATCCCCCGATGATGGTGGTGATGGTGATGATGGTGGTGATGATGATAATGATGATGGTGATGATGATAATGATGATGGTGATGATGATAATGATGATGGTGATGATGATAATGATGATGATGATAATGATGATGGTGATGATGGTGGTGATAATAATGATGATGGTGATGATATTGATGATGATAATGATGATGACGATGGTGATGATGGTGGTTGCAGCACAAGTACGACACAAGTTCCGCCATGCGGCTGGTCCGCCACAACAGCAGCAGCAGCGTTGCCGGTGCCACCCGCTGGTCCCGCTGGCGTCTGGAGCCGGTGAACGAGCGCTTGACGGCGCCCACGGCGAGCGAGCTGGTGCACGTGAGCGCCAGCCCCGGCTACTGCGAGCGCAACGACGCCAGCGGCATCCCCGGCGCGGTGGGGCGGCGGTGCAACGTCACCTCCGAGGGCAAGGAGGCATGCTCCGTCATCACGTGCTGTGACAGAGGATACGACATCTCACAAGGTGAGCCCCTCGCCCCTCACCTCTCCCCAACCCCCCCCCCCCCGAAAATTAACTAAAACTAGTCATTAAAAATTAACCCGTAAAAACAAAGTTTTTCACTATAAATCCTTTATATGCGTGACGGCTCGAGTCCTCTCATCCTCTGGCTTGAGATGGCTGCCACCTGTGGGTCAGATGATTGCCTGCCACCATTAAGCAATTGGTAATTAAATATATTTTTTTTTTCCTAAAAAGTGTGAAGTTATGGAAAATAAATTGTCATGCACAACGAGTCTGTGTGCAAAATGTCAGCTCGATTGGATCACGGGAAGTGGGTTAAAAAACGACCGAAAGATTTGCACGGTCGTAAGCGCGCAAGCAAGCAAGCGCGCAAGCAAGCGAACTTAATATAAAGGATTTAAAAAGCAACAACTATTTCATATTTGACCAGGCAAGGCCCAGTGAGCTACAGTGAGGGAAAAAAGTATTTGATCCCCTGCTGATTTTGTACGTTTTCCCACTGACAAAGAAATTATCAGTCTGTAATTTTAATGGTAGGTTTATTTGAACAGTGAGAGACAGAATAACAACACAAAATCCAGAAAAAACGCATGTCAAAAATGTTATAAATTGATTTGCATTTTAATGAGGGAAATAAGTATTTGACCCCCTCTCAATCAGAAAGATTTCTGGCTCCCAGGTGTCTTTTATACAGGTAACGAGCTGAGGTTAGGAGCACACTCTTAAAGGGAGTGCTCCTAATCTCAGCTTGTTACAATGAGGGAAACAAGTATTTGATCCCCTGCTGATTTTGTACGTTTGCCTGCTGACAAAGAAATGATCAGTCTATAATTTTAATGGTGGGTTTATTTGAACAGTAAAAGACAGAATAACAGCAACAAAATCCAGAAAAACGCATGCCAAAAATGTTATAAATTGATTTGCATTTTAATTGTCTCCACGCATGCACCAGTCTCTCTCTAATCACCCTGTCCCCATACCACTTCACACTGTTCTTCACCACTATACAGTAGTACCGTACACACACGCAGTTACATTGAACATGTATTGCTTTAGAACTGCTTTCCGTGAACCTTAGGTCAATGTCACCCCCACCACCACCCCCACCACCACCACCGTCATCGTCATCGTCACTACCACCACCACCATCACCACGACCACAGTCACCACCACCACCGTCAATGTCACTACCACCACCACCACCATCATCATCACTACCAGTCACCACCACCACCGTCATCGTCACTACCACCACCACCACCATCACCACTACCACAGTCACCGCCACCACCGTTATCGTCACTACTACCACCATCACCATCATCACGACCACAGTCACCGCCACCACCGTTATCGTCACTACCACCACCACCACCACCATCATCATCACTACCACAGTCACCACCACCACCGTCATCGTCACCACCACCGTCATCACCATCACCACTACCACAGTCACCACCACCACCACCGTCACTACCAACCGCCATGTGCTGACAGGTGGCAGTGACGTCACGACGGCTCTTGTGATGGCGTCCGGGGATGGAATTCCTTTCCAGCCCAGAGGCTGCCTGCCCTGCACCACGTATACAAACCCTCGTTGTAACAGGTCTCTCTAGGCTGGCTCAGCAGTTGAACTGCTGTGTTTTATCTCTCTCTCTCTCAAATGTCGGCAAGAAGCGCGCGGAGATTTTCCACCTCGTGACGTCAACGGCGATCGCAAAGTTGCGATTTAAAAAAATCTCGTGGTCAGAACGACGACCGGTTCCGCGCGTCCGTTTCGCACCGACTCCTCTGCTGCTGTTCCCTTCCCAGTCACGGTGGAGAAGCAGTGCGGCTGCCAGGAGCAACTCCACTGGAACGTCGATTGCAAGCTGTGCCCATCGACCGTCGATCAATTCTTGTGCAAGTAGCCTCAAGACGCTGTCGAGGGATGGCCTCGGCTGAAATCCCGATTCCATTTGGTTTCAGCCGGGTCCTGTGGGTGTGTTTGGTGACCCCCCCACAAAGTTTGTTTGGGGCACCGGTATCACAGCATCCAGCATGCGCATGACTACGTGACACGATACATTACACGACTACAAATACTACACTTTGATACACTGCACCTTGACACACTACCCCGCTATGCACTTGTCAACATCCGCATGTGGTGAATTTCCACAATGCAGAAGCGCTGTTGCTTTTTGACCGTCGCCACTTGATTGCGGTTAGCAACTCGGTGGCGTTGTTGTTGTTGTTCCTTTCTACTCCGTTCTTGTTGACGCCGCGTTTGGCAATTTTCCGAAGCGTTCACTGGGCACAGTGAGGATGGACAATGCAGAGCGGGAGTGTGTGAGTGAGTGTGTGAGTGTGTGTGTGAGTGTGTGGGCACAGTGAGGAGTGACAATGCAGAGCGGTGAGTGTGAGTGTGTGAGTGAGAGTGTGAGTGTGTGAGTGAGTGAGTGTGTGGGCACAGTGAGGAGTGACAATGCAGAGCGGTGACCCCTACACAAGTGATTTAGCGAGCCGCCCCCCTGCAGCATACGTCATCATACCCTTCACTGAGCCGCGTGACGCTCTATACACTTTACACTTGAATACAATCTTGCAGAAAAAAGTCATTTTCTGTGTCTATCTCTGTGTGTGTGTGGACATCGGGGATGCCTTCCTGAGTATGGAAACGGCGTTAAACCGAAGCGATTGATAGTGTGGTGGTGGTGGTGGTAGTAGGTGAGGTTTTCGTCGAGGATGCGTTCCTGAGTATGGAAACGGCGTTATACCGAAGCGATTGTTAGTGTGGTGGTGGTGGTAGTAGGTGGTGATGGTGGTGGAGGCGAAGGGGCTGAGAGGGTGGCGGTGTTAATCACGTGACCACGTCATTTGCGAAATGACGTTAAATCGGAGTAACGCTGTGTGCGTTTTGGGTCTCGATTAAGTCGGCTGTGGTGTTCACGATGGCGTATAGCGGTGCACTAGTTCTGCATCGATTGTTAATGATCACCAGGGGCGGGAGGAGTGGGCGTCCTCATGGATCCCGTACCGCTCTCCAGCACGCCTTATCCCACTGGAACAGTTTCATTATCGATCAACTAGAATCTTTCGATTTAAAGCTTTCGTGACTGCAGGGATTCATCTTCTTGGTTCTTTCGGTAAAGTCACGTAGAAGGGAAGTAATAAAACATAAATACAATTCTCACGACGTTTCAGCCACAACGCAAGCAGCCGTCCTCAGGTGAAGAACAGGTCTGTCGGGAAGACAGCGTCTGAATGAAACACCACCAGGCTTGGCAGCGTATATTTAAGCCGGGATGGAGGGGGGAAGAGCGCCTTGACAAAATAATTTGCATATCGAGGAATTTAGCATATTTATGGGAAATGCAGATATGGGATTAGTACCACTTGTGAAATGCGTAGGAGGTGGGCGGGGGGTCTCAAAGTCATATTATGCCCGTGCATTATGCAGGATTAGCAGCATCAGAATCATGCAACATTCGCGAGTTTCCTCTCCGTCTGTCCACGCGTGTGATACCTCCCCAATTCGGTACTTCGGACGACGGCGAAAAAACCCACAAATGTGTGCGGAGTGATGATTGATGATGATGGTGATGACGATGATGACGATGATGATGATTGATGATGATGATGGTGGTGATGATGGTGATGGTGATGATGGTGATGGTGATGATGGTGATGATGATAGTTTAATGATCCAGGAGGCTGCACAGTGTCACGGAGACTCTCCACTCAATAGGGCCCTTCCACATTCGGGGTTTTTGATTTATGTTTCATCGCAGGATATTGTCAGCCAATGAGTAAGTTGCGTGCACCGCAAGGGTAGGAGGAAATCTGAACATCTCGGAGAAAAGCCGCTCCTTGCACGAGGGGGAAACACTGGCACAAGCGTCGTGGTGACGTCACCGCCACTTAGTGGCGAATGGCGGTTGTTGTGTGCGGGGGTGTGTGTGTGTGTGTGGGTGTGTGTGGGTGTGTGTGGGTGTGTGTGATGGAGTGTGTGTGTGAGTGTGTGTGGGTGTGGGAGTGTGTGGGTGTGGGAGTGTGTGTGGGAGTGTGTGTGGGAGTGTGTGTGTGTGGGGGTGTGTGAGTGAGTGTGTGGGTGGGTATGTGAGTGTGTGGGTGTGAGTGAGTGTGTGGGTGTGTGTGGGTGTGTGGGGGTGAGTGTGTGGGTGGGTGTGTTAGTGAGTGTGTGGGAGTGTGTGAGTGTGTGTGTGGGAGTGTGAGTGTGTGTGGGGGTGTGTGACTGTGTAACTGTATGGGTGTAAGAGTGAGTGTGTGTGAGAGTGAGTGTGAGTGTGGGTGTGTGTGTGTGAGTGTGTGGGAGTGTGGGAGTGTGTGAGTGTGTGTGGGGGTGTGTGACTGTGTAACTGTATGGGTGTGAGTGTGTGAGTGTGTGGGGGTGAGTGTATGTGTGCATGTGTGTGTGTGCGACCCACTCCCCGTGCCGACCATCGAGCTGCCTGAACATCATCACACGGCGAAGGTCTCCGACACTCGTCCTGTTCTCTCTTCGCGTCTGTCCATCGGCGGCTGCGCGTCCACGTACCTGTCCCTACGCACGTTCTGCATTCCCAGCGCCACTGTCTGAAGAAGGACAAACAGAAGGTTCGTCTTCTTGGTTCTTTGGGTAAAGTCATCACGTAGAAGGGAAATAATAAAATAATAAAAATACAACATAGTCACGTAGAAGGGAAATAATGAAATAATAAAAATAAAACAAAGTCGCGTAGAAGGGAAATAATAAAATAATAAAATTTACACATTAAGTCATGTAGAAGGGAAATAATGAAATAATATTAATATAAAACAACAATTATCACGACATTTCGCCTGCAACACAAGCAATCGTCATCAGGTGTGAAATCCACAGCAAGAAAATTTGAAAAAAAGTGGCGGTTTGTCGTGACGTCAGCACCACGGACAGCGATTTGGCAGTTGGCCAGATGGACGAGTCCATCTCTGTTCGGGTCTTCACGCTCACGTGACTTGCAGACGCAGCCCGTTGTCTGCTGCCCCCTCCTCTTCTCCCCGAACGGAGATGGACTCGTCCATCTGGCAAACTGCCAAATCGCTGTCCGTGGTGCTGACGTCACGACAAACCGCCACTTTTTTCAAACTTTCTTGCTGTGGATTGCACACCTGCCGACGATTGATTGTGTTGCAGTCGAAACGTCGTGAGAATGTGTTTTATTGTTTTATATTTTTATTATTTCATTATTTCCCTTCTACGTGATGATTTTACCGAATTCAAGTTTCTAGAATCAACCCACCCGCGCCTGCAACATGGCTTCATCCCAGAGGTCGCAATCAGGTACCCGATACCCGTACCCTACCCGTACCCGGCTGGGTACGGGTACGGGTAGGGTACGGCCGGGTACGGGTACCCGTTTGCGACCCTGGTGCGGCCGGGTACGGGTAAGGAATCAAAACCCGTTTGCGAGCTCTGGCGTGAACGTGAGACCTCGTCAGTGACACACCGAGTGTGGGGCCACGGAGAGAGAGAGCTCCGGCCGGCTACCCACGTCAATGCTCATTCACCAGGGGGGGCCGGGCGATCCGGTTGCCCGGGCCCTGAAGGCCGACGGCGTCTCCTCCTCCTCCTCCTCCTCCTCGTGTTGTTCCCCTTGCAGACGGAGACGACGTAGACCACGACAGCCACAGGCGCCAGCACCCCGGCCACCAGCAGCCCTGCCCTGTGCGGCGGCGTCTCCCCTGGAGGGGCGGCGGTGGCCTCGCTCAGAGCCCCGCCGTGTGGCCGCCGTGGGGCTGCAGAGACACGGAGACGGGGGGGGGGGGGGGCTCAGGGTGACCCCCACTCGCACCCTGCACCACCACCTCAAGCGGCGACTCGACACGGCTTCACGTGCAGCAGGGAGAGACACTCACTCAACACGGCTTCACGTGCAACAGGGAGAGACACTCACTCAACACGGCTTCACGTGCAGCAGGGAGAGACACTCACTCAACACGGCTTCACGTGCAGCAGGGAGAGACACTCACTCAACACGGCTTCACGTGCAGCAGGGAGAGACACTCACTCAACACGGCTTCACGTGCAGCAGGGAGAGACACTCACTCAACACGGCTTCACGTGCAGCAGGGAGAGACACTCACTCAACACGGCTTCACGTGCAGCAGGGAGAGACACTCACTCAACACGGCTTCACGTGCAACAGGGAGAGACACTCACTCAACACGGCTTCACGTGCAACAGGGAGAGACCACCCATTCAACACGGCTTCACGTGCAGTAGGGAGAGACCTCTCACTCGGGATTGACATCGTATCGAAATTGCGAAGAGTCGCGTCGCCGCGCGGCGAGCGTGGCCGTGTCAGCCACGGCGCAACCGGCGCCGCGAGCTCCGCGCTCGGCTCACCCGCAGCCGTCACGTCCTGCAGCTGCAGCAGCAGCTCCGCTTGCACGGCGGCGTTCCCCGCGGCGTCACAGCGGCGGCAGTCGACGCGGCACAGGGCGACGGGGCCGAGGCTCCCGGGGAAGTTGGGGATGCCGACGGAGCAGTCTCCCGCGAGCACGTCTCCCGCGGACTTGGCGACGCTCGAGTCGTCCGCCGTCTCGTCGCCCGAGAAGTAGATCTGCCAACGACACCGAGCGCGACGTGGGACGGTCGAGCGCGATCGCACGCGATGCCCGCCGTCGAATCGTCGTGAGCTGAGCCGGGCTCGGTGAGCTCGGTTAACTCCCTACACGGGAGAGCTCTTGGGCGATGGCAAAATATGAACGTTGAGTTTGCGTCGAGTTCTTGGTTCTTTCGGTAAAGTCGTCACGTAGAATGGAAATAATAAAAATAAAACATAATAAAATAATTCTCAGGACGTTTCGGCCACAACGCAAGCAGCCATCCTCAGGTGAAGAACAGGTCTGTCGGAAAGACAGCGTCTGTTGCATTCATCTTCTTGGTTCTTTTGGTAAAGTCACGTAGAATGGAAATAATAAAGAACAGGTCTCCACCTGAGGACGGCTGGTTGCGTTGTGGCCGAAACGTCGTGAGAATTGCATTTTATTATGTTTTATTTTTATTACTTTATTACTTCCGTTCTACGTGGTGACTTTACCCAAAGAACCAAGAAGATGAATCCCTGCAGTCACGAAATCAGCTTTAAATCTAAAGACAATCACTAGTCACGACTGACGTGAAATGCGAGCCCCACCAAGGTCATGTCTCCACTGGTGACGTTCTCTGCGTAGCGTCTGGGCATCGTGAACCACTGGACGACGACGTGGTCCAGGTGTGTGGCCGGTGGGGAGAAGGAGCAGGGGAGAGTGACGTTCTCTCCCTCCCTCACAGACAGACTCTTCGGGAGAGTGAGCTGGAGCTTGACAGCCAACGCCGCATCTGCAGAGAGACCGGTCACGCTCGTTACGCATACACCTTGTTGACCATGCAAAACAGATTTAACTACGCATCAAAACGCTATACCACAGAGCTCATGGCATTTCTGACCAACACCACCTGGCCAGTGAATTGAGACATGTACATCGGGCCCTCAGGACGAACGGATACTCTGACCGCACCATCCGCCAAGCTGTTTCTCCCACCATACAGAAACAGCCACTTGAAACTCCGATCAAAACCATCACGTTGCCATACATAGCAGGCGTGACCAAAAAGATCTCCAAAATTCTAAACAAACATAAGATCCAAGTCCGATTCAGTACAGTACATAACATCCGTGATCTAATTCCATCTGTGAAAGATGTCATTCCTGACTTACAATACCCTGGAGTCTACAAACTGAGTTGCAGTGGTGGTGATTGCTAGATTGGAGAAACGAAACGCCATGTCTCTGATCGTGTCCGCGAGCACAAGTCAGATCTGAAACACGGCAGAACTGATTCTTCCGCCGTTGCCGATCATTGCTACAACGCTGTGGGCTCTCATGAAATTGTCTTTTCCGAGACCAAGGTGCTCTGCAAACCTCCTGGCTACCATCAAGGGTTTTTACACGAAGCCATCCAAATATACAAACACAGACATAATTTCAACCGTGATGATGGGTACAAACTGAGAAATCATTGGAAAGATGTTATTGACCATGCGAAAAAGATTTAACTACACATATTTGGACCATCTTATTTGACAGACAACTATTCCTTAGTTACCGTACAGTTCACTGATAGACAGCCACTGGCACGCCCAGGGCGGTGTCACAGGGGTCGCATCGCCGTGAGCTCCTCGTCGTCCTCACGGTGGGAGATTTAAAAACAACTATGACAATTAGCAGGTGAAATGTGACCCTTTTAATCAAAAGTTACCTGGCCACAAATGCGGAAATTTATCGCAGAAAAGTCATCGGAATGCACGTCGACTCGAAATGTGGAGGAAAAAACAGAGGACCCGGAGACAAATCCACGCGGCCACAGGGACAGACTCGCAAACTCCAAATATACAGCAGCAGGCATCAGGGTCGGGATTGAACCCACGACCTCCTGTACACCAGGCGAGGTAGTTAACATCTCCTAGCCCCCGTGATGATGATGAGAGAGACACCGCAAACTCCAAATATACAGCAGCAGGCATCAGGCTCGGAATTGAACCCACGATCTCCTGTACACCAGGCGAGGTAGTTAACATCTCCTAGCCACCGTGATGATGACGATGAGAGAGGGAGACTCGCAAACTCCAAATATACAGCAGCAGCAGGCATCAGGCTCGGAATTGAACCCACGACCTCCTGTACACCAGGCGAGGTAGTTAACATCTCCTAGCCACCGTGATGATGACGATGAGAGAGAGAGACACGCAAACTCCCAATATACAGCAGCAGGCGTCAGGGTCGTGATCGAACCCACGACCTCCTGCATTCAAGGCGAGGCAGATCGCAGTGACCTCTCACCTAGCTAACGAAAGGGCACCGTCCAATGTGTGCTGGGTGAGTGTCTCTGGGTGTGAACTCACCCAGAAGGAGGAAGACGAACAGTGAGATGAGGACCGGCTTCATGGCCGGCTCTGTCTGCTGATGATCGCAAAAGAGAACGAGCCATTAGTCCATCTCACGGCCGCACTCCAACGGTTCACACTCCCTCACTTTCACATCACTCCGCTTCAACATCTTTCCATTCGTGACATCGGCGATGAGTTTCATCTTTTTGCATTCGGTTTTCCTATCTGCTATAATATAAACGCACGCTTAATTTCTACACGCCAGAGGTCGATACCCGGCTACCCGTACCCGGCCGGGATTTCATTTATACCTGATGATGATTGCTTGTGTTGCAATCGAAACGTCGTATGCTTGTATTAAATGTATTATTTTATCTTTACACGTGACTTTACCGAAAGAACCACCAAAGAGTAATTCCTGCAGTCACGAAAGCTCCAAATTAAGTTTGAATGTTTGCGTGTCGTTAAACCGACCATCAGCCGACACAGCCAGTTGGCAAGGTTTATCACGCGAACACACCGTGCCAATCTGTCACTGGAGCAGCACTAACCGGTTGTGTGTTGGAGTGTCTGTGTGTGTGTGTACACACTGTGTGTGTGTACACACGTACACACACACAGTGTGTGTGTGTACACTGTGTGTGTGTGTGTACACTGTGTGTGTGTCTGTGTGTGTACACTGTGTGTGTGTGTACACACTGTGTGTCTGTGTGTGTGTCTGTGTGTGTGTGTACACTGTGTGTCTGTGTGTACACTGTGTGTCTGTGTGTGTGTGTACACTGTGTGTGTGTACACTGTGTGTGTGTGTACACTGTGTGTGTGTACACTGTGTGTGTGTATACACTGTGTGTCTGTGTGTGTCTGTGTGTGTGTGTACACTGTGTACACTGTGTGTCTGTGTACACTGTGTGTGTGTACACTGTGTGTGTGTCTGTGTGTGTGTGTACACTGTGTGTGTGTATACACTGTGTGTCTGTGTGTGTCTGTGTGTGTGTGTACACTGTGTGTGTGTGTACACTGTGTCTGTGTGTACACTGTGTGTCTCTGTGTGTACACTGTGTGTGTCTGTGTGTGTGTACACTGTGTGTGTGTACACTGTGTGTGTACACTGTGTGTGTGTGTACACTGTGTGTGTCTGTGTGTGTGTATACACTGTGTGTCTGTGTGTGTCTGTGTGTGTGTGTACACTGTGTGTGTGTGTACACTGTGTGTCTGTGTGTACACTGTGTGTCCGTGTGTGTACACTGTGTGTGTGTCTGTGTGTGTACACTGTGTGTGTGTATACACTGTGTGTCTGTGTGTGTGTCTGTGTGTGTGTATACACTGTGTGTGTGTGTACACTGTGTGTGTACACTGTGTGTGTGTGTACACTGTGTGTGTCTGTGTCTGTGTGTGTGTACACTGTGTGTGTGTATACACTGTGTGTCTGTGTGTGTCTGTGTGTGTGTGTACACTGTGTGTCTGTGTGTACACTGTGTGTCTGTGTGTGTGTATACTGTGTGTGTACACTGTGTGTGTCTGTGTGTGTGTACACTGTGTGTGTATACACTGTGTGTCTGTGTGTGTCTGTGTGTGTGTGTACACTGTGTGTGTGTACACTGTGTGTGTGTACACTGTGTGTGTGTGTGTGTGTACAATGTGTGTGTGTGTGTACACTGTGTGTGTGTGTGTACACTGTGTGTGTGTTCAGCACGCCCGGCGGACCCGTTATTCGATCCCGACTCCTGCCGGGGGAGGCGCTCCGGGCGCGGCGGGTCCGCTAGGAAAACTCGGGATGGCCCGAGGCCGACTAGGCCGCAGTCTTCCCTCCCCTCTGTTCTAGATGGTGACGATGTTGCTGATGCTGTTGTTGATGCTGATGATGTTGTTGATGTTGATGTTGTTGATGATGTTGTTGTTGATGTTGTTGATGTTGTTGTTGATGTTGCTGTTGTTGTTGTTGCTGATGTTGTTGTTGATGCTGATGTTGTTGTTGATGCTGATGATGATGTTGATGCTGATGTTGTTGTTGATGCTGCTGATGATGTTGTTGATGCTGATTGCTGATTATGTTGTTGTTGATGTTGCTGATAATGTTGTTGATGCTGATGATGTTGTTGATGCTGCTTCTGATGATGTTGATGATATTGCTGCTGATGCTAGGGGTGGTGATGATGTTGCTGATGATGGTGTAGATGATGTTATTAATGATGTTGCTGATGCTGATGATGTTGTTGATGCTGATGATGTTGTTGTATATGATGGTGTAAATGATGTTTATTGATAATGTTGATGATCGCAAACATCAACATAATTTATTAATTTATTCAGTTAGGGTAGCCTCTCATTGTGGGAGGGGAGGGTCTTGTACCCCAGAAAGCGACGTCATGTCATCTGCTGCCGCGTGACGTCATGTCATCTGCTGCCGCGTGACGTCATGTCATCTGCTGCCGCGTGACGTCATGTCATCTGCTGCCGCGTGACGTCATGTCATCTGCTGCCGCGTGACGTCACGAGCTAACAGGAAGCTGGAGGTCCGCGCGTGAACTGCAATCCGAGGTGAGAAATTCTCATTGCGGTTGTTGTTGTGGTTGTTGTTGTTGTTGTGGTTGTTGTTGTTTACCAAGGTAGAGCCTCGCTCTCTCTCTCGTAGGGATGTCAATAGAGCAGCAGCAGCAGCTTGTGAATCGATGTCCAAGTTGGAACTTTACAACGCGGGGCCTAGACACGCGGGGCCTTGCCTCCTGCCCTCGCCTGGTTGCGTTTGCTTTAATCCCCTCCCTTAAGTTTAATTTGTCTTCACGCGGCTCGCTACTTTGTCACTTTGGTTTATTGTAGATATTGACGCAGTTTTTTTTTCTTTTTTTACCAGCCCATGCCCGCCTGAGCTGCTGTACCGCTCTTGTTTACAGAAGCTACCTGCCCACAACAACAACAAGGTAGGTAGGTAGGTGGGGTTTGTCAACGCGTGTGTCAGTGTTTTGACTTAAAACTTTAGTAACTGCAGCAATTAATATTCTTGGTTCTTTCGGTAAAGTCACGGAGATAGAAAATTTAGTAAAAATAACAGATAATAAAATGAATAAAAGTAAACAAAATTGTAAATAAATAAAAAAACCCACGACGTTTCGATCGCAACACAAGTGTCCTTTATTTGATGTTATTATCTGTTGTTATTGTCTATCTACGTGACTTTACCGAAAGAACCAAGAATACGTGTGGAAATGTGTCGTTTTCAATGAAGTCTCTAAATGTGGAGGGCAAACCCGGGAGATTCGGAGGAAAATCCACGCGACCACGGAGAGAGACACGCAAACTCCAAATATACAGCAGCAGGTGTCAGGGTCGGGATCGAACCCACGACTTCCTGTATACCAGGCGAGGTAGTTAACATCTCACCACGGAGAGAGAGAGACACGCAAACTCCAAATATACAGCAGCAGCAGGCGTCAGGGTCTGGATCGAACCCACGACTTCCTGTATACCAGGTGAGGTAGTTAACATCTCACCACGGAGATACGAGGGCTTCCAGGCATATTTATGACCATTTGCCCTCTCATTGTGTGCAATAACAGCCCGTGTGATGAATTTGGGAAACTTTTTCACTACATCATGAATATATGAATAAGTATAGACGTGTAAGTCACGTGTGACTGTGTTTTTGCTTTCATCTGTGCCTCGATACTGACGTGTAGGTGGTGTGCATATTCTTTTTTTCTGTCTGCAGCTGACGCTTCCTCTGACGCTTCCTCTGCAGAATTGGTCTGATGGAGCAAAGGCAGGCAGCGCAGCTCGGTACGGCAAGTCAACAATGCGACCAGCGTGGATACAGCACGGAGCGGACTGGAAATTTGACACAGCACCAGAGAACACACACAGGAGAGAAACCCTTCAAGTGCACTGTGTGTGGGAAGGCCTTTGCATGGCCATCAGTTCTTCAGATCCACCAGAGAACACACACGGGAGAGAAACCCTTCAAGTGCAGTGTGTGTGACGAGGCATTTGCACGGCCATCTGCTCTTAAACGACACCAGAGAACACACACGGGAGAGAAACCCTTCAAGTGCAGTGTGTGTGGGGAGGCATTTTCACAGTCATATAATCTTAAGACACACCAGAGAACACACACGGGAGAGAAACCCTTCAAGTGCAGTGTGTGTGGGATGGCGTTTGCACTTTCATCTACTCTTGTAACACACCAGAGAACACACACGGGAGAGAAACCCTTCAAGTGCAGTGTCTGTGGGAAGACGTTTTCAGATTCATCTGATCTTGTAAAACACCAGAGAACACACACGGGAGAGAAACCCTTCAAGTGCAGTGTGTGTGGGAAGGCGTTTGCACTTTCATCTACTCTTGTAAAACACCAGAGAACTCACACAGGAGAGAAACCCTTCAAGTGCAGTGTGTGTGGGAAGGCGTTTGCACTTTCATCTACTCTTGTAACACACCAGAGAACACACACAGGAGAGAAACCCTTCAAGTGCAGTGTCTGTGGGATGGCGTTTGCACTTTCATCTACTCTTGTAACACACCAGAGAACACACACGGGAGAGAAACCCTTCAAATGCAGTGTCTGTGGGAAGACGTTTTCAGATTCATCTTATCTTGTAAAACACCAGAGAACCCACACGGGAGAGAAACCCTTCAAGTGCAGTGTCTGTGGGAAGGCGTTTGCACAGTCATCTGATCTTGTAAAACACCAGAGAACACACACGGGAGAGAAACCCTTCAGGTGCACTCCGTGCGGGATGGCGTTTGCACGGTCAGCACATCTTCAAAACCACCAGAGAACACACAAGCATCACAAGATCCACAAGGAGTGGAGTCTGAAAGCTTGTGAAAGTCAAAGTGCCGCAATGAGCCCATCCCTCATCAAACAAGAATCGGAAGAAAATCCCAGCTTGGACACTTTTAGAGAAATCAAGGTGAAATATGAAGAGGTGAAGGTGGAATATGAAGAAGTGAAAGTAAAATGTGAAGATGAAGATTCAACTCCAAAATGGGACCTTAGCATCGATGGAGGCAACATGAAGCAGGAGGAGAATTCTGACTGTGAGGCAGAGTGAGGCAACTCCCAGCAGCAGTTTGTGGAGGTGGAGGTGTGGGTGGACTTCATCTGAGACAATACAAAGTCAAATGAAGACCCGTTAGATGTGTAAACTTGAGATGATGTCGCTCCAATAGATGCACCCTTGTCACTGGCCTTTAATGACAAGAATGTGAAGTTGAACACCCAATTCCTAAGTTCAACCTGCAGGGTAAGCGGCCAGTCTTTGTGGACCTGTCTGTTGGGTAGATCTCTAACCAGGAGCGAGAGCCAATAAGCTCCCAAGCATTCACTCTGTTCTCATCAATTCCATTTATATGGTGCTTGCTTAATCGCCTCTGGCAACTCGGAGTTTTGCATCGTATCTCGTCTCAAACACTCGAAACATCCCCAAGTGGCAGCTGCCCCTGTGTGGCACAAGGTGGTGGCCCTGCACCGGCCTGCATGTGGACAAGAGCCTGTCAGTAGGGGGCGATGGTTGATGTGGCATCTCAGTTGTGGAGTTTGTAGGTAATGTTTAGAATTTGCTACATTTTGACCCAGATGTCAGCATGCAATGGCCGACTCGTTTTGAATGGTGCATTAGTATGTTGTACATACACTGTTAAGCAGACGGTGCGTATTTTTTAAATCCTTTATATTAAGTTCGCGTGCTTGCTTGCTTGCTTGCGTGCTTGCTTGCTTGCTTAGGACCGTGCAAATCTTTCGGTCGTTTTTTAACCCACTTCCTGTGATCCAATCGAGCTGACATTTTCCACACAGACTCGTCGTGAAAAAAAATTCCCAAAATTTTACACTTTTTAGGTAAAAAATTATTTTGCATATATTCAAATAGAACGCATTCATGGCTTTGGCTGAACGTCAGAGTGTAAGAGCCCAGAGCGTAACCCCTCCACAGGCCGTGGCGGAGTAGCGCAGTTGGTAGCGCCCTCGCTTCCCATGCCAAAGGTCGCGGGATCGATCCCCGCATCCTCCACAGGCGAATATATTTTTTAATCCTTTATATTAAGTTTGCTTGCTTGCTTAGGACCGTGCAAATATTTCGCTCGTTTTTAACCCACTTCCCGAGATCCAATCGAGCTGACATTTTCCACACAGACTCGTTGTGTGACAATTTTCGTGAAAAAAAAAAATCCAAAATTTTACACTGTTTAGGGAAAACAAATTAAATATTTAATTACCAATTGCTTAATGGTGGCAGACAATCATCTGACCCATAGGTGGCAGCCATCTCAAGCCAGAGGACGAGAGGACTCTAGCCGCCACGCATATAAAGGATTTAGAGTGAAAAACTTTGTTTTTACGGGTTTACTTGTTTAAATTAGCTTCTTGTTAATAGGATGTAAACTAATAAAGCATATTTCAGTGCAGTCATTCAATTTTGTTCATATGCCTGTCAATAATTTAGACTGAATACTTGTCTGATGGTGTGCGTACATGTAACATTTTGTCTATAAGGGTCAAACATTGAATAAGTGATGTTAGGACACAGTGTGTGTTTTGCAAGTAACCTGTACAGATAACTCAGGTGAGACTCATTGTGCTTGTGATGCAGGTCAAAGGGTATTTTTGTGTTTTCAGGAAGCGTCTCCCTCTGGAGCAGCAACTCATTGTCTTTGAAATAGCGAGCACGCTCGGATCATTCATCAGTTACAAGGCATACCACTTAAAAGTTACACGTAGAGGAGATACATTCTCTACAACACGAATTATAATTTTGTATTACGTGTTGACGTACATTTTGTCGAATTAGGACAAGAAATGCTCCTTGCTGATTGGAAAGTTACAAAAAGAATTGCACACGAGCAACGCATCCACACAAGCTCCCGATGCTCCGTTTTGAAGTTTTAAAATGAAACAACTTTGAATTGTATTATGTTTTGAATTTAATAATTGTATTTCTTCATTAAAAGCTTGTTATTTTACATCTGGAAGACTTCATTGAAAACGACATTTCGTGTGAATTTTCTCTCGTCGTTAAGTAGATGGCCTTGCCGGGGTTCTGTTTGATGCGGACTTTCACCTGGTTGGGGTTGCGGGATTGAGATGAGGCGACACAGAGCTGCTGGCCGTGCCAGAAGACCGCCGTCTGCAGATCGATTCCAACGCAATCGACCGTCTGTCCCTGTGCCTTCGTCGTTCATGCAGGGGGCGCGTAGGTTTGCAGCGCCCCCTGCATGAAAGCGACAGAACGTGCAGCGTTCGTCACAAAGTTGTGCGTAAGCGCCATAACAAGGCGCTGTCAGCTGACCTGCCACCACGTGCAGCACGGGTCAACAGGGGGCAGCCGAGAGAGAGAGCGAGGTGCGTAGGGGTGAGTGGTGAGGGTGAGTGGCGGTTATGAGTGGTGATTAGTGAGGGGTGAGGGTGAGCAGTGCGGGTGAGTGGTGATTGGTGAGGGTGTGATTGGTGAGGATGAGTGGTGAGTGGTCAGGGTGAGTGGTGAGGGTGAGTGGTTGTTGTGAGGGTGAGTGGTGAGGATGAGTGGTGAGGGTGAGTGGCGGTTGTGAGTGGTGATGGGTGAGTGGTGAGCGGTGAGTGGTGAGCGTGAGTGGTGAGGGTGAGTGGTGAGAGAGTGGTTAGTTTTGAGGGTGAGTAGTGAGGGTTAGTGGAGAGTGGTGATTGGTCAGTGGTGATTGGTGAGGATGAATGGTGAGTAGTGAGGGTGAAGTTGAGTGGTGGTTGTGACGGTGAGTGGTGAGGGTGAGTGGTGAGGCTGAATGGTGAGGGTGAATGGTGAGAGTGAGTGGTGAGTGAGAGTGGTGAGGGTTAGTGGTGAGGGTTAGTGGTGAGTGGTGAGGGTGAGTGGTGATTGGTGAGTGGTGATTGGTGAGTGGTGATTGGTGAGTGGTGAGGGTGAGTGGTGATTGGTGAGTGGTGAGGGTGAGTGGTGAGGGAGATTGGTGAGGGAGGTTGGTGAGTTGTGAGGGTGAATGGTGAATAGTGAGTGGGAGTGGTGAGTGGTGAGGATGAGTGGTAAGGGTGAGTTGTGAGTGGTGAATGGTGAGGGTGAATGATGAGTACAGTCAATATGCACTGCTGTTATCATACCAGGTACCACCACCACAATATGTACTCCTCTCATCATAGCAGATACCACCACAGCAGTATGCAATGCTGTAATCATAGCAGGTACCAACACAGCAGTATGCACTGCTGTAATCATAGCAGGTACCAACACAGCAGTATGCACTGCTGTAGTGATAGCAGGTACGACCTCAGTCGGTATACACTGCTGTAGTGATAGTAGATACTGCTATCGAGTTGGTAGATACTGCTATAGTAAATACTAAAACAGTCAGTATATACCACTACAGTTAGTCAATACTGCTACAGTCAGTATATACTACTATACAGTCAGTACATACTGCTACGGTGAGTAGCTACTAGAGTCAGTAGATACTATTATAGAGTGAGTAGATACTGCTATAGATTTTGTAGTTACTACTATAGTCAGTGGATACAACTATAGAGTCAGCAGATACTATACAGTTAGTCGTTACGAGTATATAGTCAGTAGATACTACTGTAGGCCCAGAAAATACTACTATGGTCAGTAGTTATTACAGTCACTAAATACTACTACACAGTCAGTAGCTACCTCTGGCTCAGTAGATACTACGGTACAGTCAGTAGATACTACTACAGAGTCAATAGATACCACTTCCTCTGTTGTATGTGTAGAGGTGATACGCTCTGGGATTAGGGATCGTATGCCAGCGCGTAAGGATTGGCTGTGTAGGTGGTGACGCGCGCTGACGGTGGAGGATCAGGGGTCAGCGCGGGGTCGTGGGTTACGGGGTACCGATTGGCTGTGGGCCGGTGACGCGCTGAGAGGGAGTGATCAGGTGGCTGCGCAGTGTGATTGGTGGAGTAATGTTAACACGCGCTGGGGAAAGCGGATCGTAGAGAGAGTGCGTCGTGATTGGTTCATTAAGGAACGACGCCCACGTCGACGTCCGCATCAGCTCCGTCTCTCGTGAGCAGGGGCTATAAAAGGGGATGCACACAGGCGTAAGGGCAGTGTGTGACCAGCGAAGAATGAAGACGGGGATGAAGACCTAGAGCCCTGCGGTACCTAGCCCCGCTGTCCTAAGGGGACCGGGACTCTGTGTAACCCAGAGGCGAGTGTAGTGTGTGTAGCCTTAGGCATAAGGTCTACACGAGCCGAATGCATTGTGTGTAGCCAGGGCATAGGGTCTACACGAGTCGAGTGTATTGTGTAGCCAGAGGCATAGGGCTTACACGAGTCGAGTATATTGTGTGTAGCCAGAGGCATAGGGTCTACACGAGTCAAGTGTATCGGGTGTAGCCAGAGGCCTAGAGTTACACGAGATTAGTGGAGTGTGTCGTAGAGAGAAGGAAGACCACACGTTGTATTGTGACACGTAAAGATTTAATAAAAGTGTGTTACCCGTCAAGAAGTTCCTGCCGTCAATTCCCATACTTCAACTGGCGTCAGAAGTGAAACGGTCCTCCAAGCATGGATACAAGGAGGAGCCGTCGGACCCACGGGATGGACCACGGGGACAACCTCGACGACGCGGGCCAGCTGGCATCAGGGGGTGAGGAAGAGGAGCTGCCCACGGGGCAGGATCCGCCGACGGCGCCGGAGGAGCGACGGGGGACTGACACCGTGCTCCGCGAGGCACACTCCCGTCTGGCGGAGCTGCTGCTCGCCGCCGCGTCCATCTTGGCGGAGATCAGCTCATCGGGAGGAGCGGGGACGGCGGCCGACGTGCTACAGGGTCGCCCTGCAGATTCCCGCCAAAACGATTTGGTGATTCCCGCCATTTCATCCGCACCAACTTTTGGCGGGAACGGCCATCACCACGTGGCAGCGGTTCTCCATGCGCGCCCGCTGACGTCACCAACGCGCGCGGCGGACCGCCATGACACACCCGCCACTGGGGCCGCCATCTTACACACCGACGGGGCGGCAGAGAGGAAGCACGAGGAGGAGGACGACTTCATCTTTCAGCAGCGCCTTCCCACGTTGTCAGCCTTCAAGGCGGAAGGCGGGGATTGGAGCCAATTTCAGCGCAGATTTTTGGCGCATCAGGAGATGTCCGCCTGGTCCGACGCTACGGCGCTGCGGGCACTGCCTGCCATGCTGGACGACAACGCGCTCGCGGCCTTCACGTCCGCACGCAGGTCGGACCGCTCCACGCTCAAGGATGCGCTGGCCCTCATGGCCAAAGTCTACGGTCCTCCCTCGGCGTGCCGCCATCATTTTTATGCAAGACGGAAGGCGGACACGGAGACCGTGCTCGCCTACCGCACGGCGTTGCTTGCTCTCGCCGACGCCGCGTTCCCTCGTATGGACGAGGAGGGCCAAGATGCGATGGTTTTGGAGCAGCTGCTCAAGTTGGCGCAGGACCTGGGGGTCCCCATCAACACGGCCGACGAGACCGATATTTCTTCCTTACGGGTCGCCACGAGCATACAAGCGCACGAGGTCCTTCACCGTAAGCAGGGGGTCGTCTGCAACGCTGCCGTGGCCTCAACTCCGGGTCCGGTTGTCACCGTGCCCCAAGTCGTCAGCCCACCAGAGGAGGCGTTCATCGCGGGACGAGCGGGGGACTGGAGGTCGGGGGGTCGTTCGCCTCTGCGAGCGGCCCGCAAGCTGGAGCAACCGAGATCTCCGACCACTGTCATCACGTGCTATAACTGCGGCCTCCGAGGCCACGTGGCCTCCGGTTGCCGCGCCCCACGTCAGCGCGCCATGGGACCTCGGCTGGACGACGACCAAGGCCCCAAGTCATCACCGCAAACCCCGGCAAGTCGCGGCACCTCACATGCTTGGCCCGCATACTCGACACGTATGGGTCGTCGCGTTGCGACGAGGGAGAGCCGAGTAGAGTTCGGGGATTCGGTTCGGAGAGGGGGGTTCGGCCGGGACCGGGGAGACATTAAATGGGCGGAATTGGGGCACAGAATAGTGGCTGCCTCAGCGGGTTCATCCGTCGTTACCGGATCTATTGATGGGGTCGAGGTCAGGGTGTTAGTGGACACGGGGGCATCGGCGACTATTATTTCGGACCTCATTTATAACATTCTCCCGGTACAATGTCGTCCGCTTCTTCCGGTGGATGTGCCGTTTTACGCCGCTAACGGGGGATCGTTGGGCATTATCGGTCAGATTAGGGCGTCCATTTGCATTGGTGATATCAAATTGTCGGGACCCGTTTTCGTTTCATCTTCCCTGGCGGTTCCTTGCCTATTGGGCACTGATTTTTTGGCAAAAATGCCCATCAAAATTCTCATTGATCAACGTTGCATTGAACTACCATCGGGTCGCCGTATTTCATTTTTGACGAGCCCTAATGTAATTCGGACGGCGTGCGCTACCATACAGGCGTTAGCGACACAGACCGTGCACGTACCCCCGGGTTCACAAATGTTGATTCCCCTCCGGTTGCGGAAGCCATGGGGGAAGGAGGCCTTGGAACAGGCCATGCTTTTGGGTCCTTCTAATAGGGCTGTTGGAGGTCTCGATTTATCGGTGGCTCACACTTTGGTTGGGGCAGACAGGGATCCGTTTGTGATGGTTTTAAACGCTGGGGCGCGGCCGGCCGTCATTCAGCAGGGCACCGTGCTGGCTCACGCGGCACGGGTCCCTGCGGAGGAGGGGCTGGTTGCGCAGGCTGATTCGAGCCCCACGAATAACGTAACATCGAAGGAGGACCTCGATTGGATTGATATGCTGTGCGCGGACTCTGACGATTTGTCAGCGGTACAGTTGGGTGCGCTGCGCGGGTTGCTGATTGAATTTTCGGATGTCTTCAGTAAACATAAGTATGATATTGGGTGCACGGACCTGCTACGCCACCACATTGAAACGGGCGACGCGGCACCGGTCAGGCAAAATCCCTTCCGACTGAGTCCTGCTGAGAAGGAACATGTTCAGTCGGCAGTTAACGATATGCTGGAAGCCGACATTATTTCGCCTTCTTCCAGTCCTTGGG